AAGAGCGTTCTTTCTCCTGTAGCACTACCTTACAGATTGACAAAAGATTGCAGGAGTACAATTTATTAAAGTATTTGAGTTCAGTAACTTTGGGAACTGTACAAAAGCTATATAAAAGTGTTGGTTTTAGGCTATCTGCAGTAGTCTGTGTGTCTGTTAAACTTGGATTATGGTTTGAAAGCCTTCTCTCTAAGTGTAGAGGCTTTAGATTGATTCTGTTCAAAATGAAAACTGAGCCTCAAGAGGCTTGGGAGATTTATCTGTACTTCTGAGCTGCTGCTTTGCACCCTTCTCCAGATGTATCCTGTGCTTTAGGTGATGGTTTTTCAACAGAAAGTGGATTTTTAAAATTTTCAGAGGATACAAACTGCAAACAGGTATGGAGTTTGTCTTATGTGGAGTTAATTAAGAGATCCAGGGCAAATGAGTGAAACCCTTTCTAGAAAAAGTACATGTGTGTTTCTGTGGATATTTTGTGGCTTTTTTGATCAGGGTTTCGTCTTCCATACATGTTGAGCAATATTCACTATGCAGAGAATTAATCTTAGTTGGTTTCTTGAATACAGGTCAAGCAAGTTTAGTAAATTTTTATTTGTAATATCTTGCTCTATTACATGAAACAACAGAAGTCTAATTTGAAGCTGATTTTTACTTTTATTGTCTTTTCAGTATTGCAGGGATAAGAGACTTTTGAAGCCTGAAGTTGCGTTCTGTGTTCTAGACAGTAATTGCTGTGAGCTCCCATGTTCTAGGTGGTATTGTTTGCTCGTTTGGAAGAGGGGAGCAGGATTACTCCTTTTAGTAACTTAAAAACAGAAGCTGTATTTAGAAAACTGTTCAGTAATGCATGCTATCTTATGTATGTCTGACTCATTACAGTGCTTGTTTATGAAGATGCAGGGTAGCTTTTTGTCTGTTCAGTTCCATCAGCTGTAGTGATGCTGGTTGACTGATGAGGTTAATACTGAGGCACACAGAGTGATTTGGGGAGCTGTGTTCAAGTGGGACGCATTGTGTGCAGGGAGGTAGGTGATATATTTTCCTGTCAGAGGTGATTGAAATACTCTGGGAGAGAGATTTCTGAACATGCAAGTTTGCATTGTAGGCTTAGCCATATTTGTCAGGGTGGGAAGGAAAAGGCAAGTTTTTTGTTTTTACATTTCTCAGCTTGACAAATAAAATTGCTTTAAGGATATTACGGGGAATTATTAGCTGAAGAACAATGGAAAAGTTAGGAATAGCTGTATGCTCTGCACACATCTTTTCAGCTCAGTTTTGCAAGGGAACTGATGTGCTCGGGTAAGTAGAGTTTTTAAGCCTGTTTAAGGAACCATTGTTTTCTTACTTGCTGAGGTTGGGAGAGTGCTCCCTGTCCTGCAGGTAACTTGTAGAAATATGTCAATTTGGGCACACTTTCAGGAGTTTCCCTCCTCAACAGGAGTGCAGGATGGAAGCATGATTTCCGGGAGTCAAGAACATTAGATAAGAGATGGTCTTTGTGTGTGTGCCCTTACGATCTTCTGCACCGGTCATCCGCTGATTGCTCTGTGTGTGCGAAGTGGAGGTCATGGACTGCAAGAATGTGTTGGAGCTCTGAAATCTCATATTACTGTTGCACTTAGATGCCTTTGTGGTGTGTGAACCCAGGAGGACACGAAGGGTATTAAACTTCTAGCTTTTTGGATAAATTATGTACCTCGGGCAGTTACGCTATATATCATAATTCCCGTACATACATGCCCTTTGAAAGCACAGGAGTGGGATGTGAGCAGAGGAAACCACTGTGTAGTAAGGAAACTGGAGTTTTACAGAGCAAAACAAAACACGAGCCTGCATTCTAGCAGAGAAGAGGAGAAGCTTCGGATTTTATTTGTTCCTCAACACACACTGTTTATGTAATTTATTGACTTAAAGGTGTGGTGACAAAAAATGGCACCCTGGACTGTCCTGTTTTCTTGGAACTGCCCTTGTGCTGGCTTTTGCTTTGTGCTCTCTGTGAATCTATAGGTCCTACGTTAAGGTTTGTAGCAGGTTTTCACACTTAAGTAGTAGCCTGTGAGGATGTTTTTACCATCATTTGTGTTACTGGGCACTTTTTAACATTTCATACCTGTGTGGTGCTGTGGAGCTGACTGGGATCTACTGAACAGTTGTCATTAGGAAGTTATTTTTTGGCTTTTGGTTTACTGTTCAAACTTAAATTTCATGGGAGTGTGTGTGAAACTTCTCAAAACTTTTAATTTCTTGTAATGTATGTATAACAGTTAATGGGACTAGCACTTAAACCCGTAACCGTGTGTGCACGGCTCATGCCTCACAGTTTTCAGACAATGTTGAAAGTGTCGGATAGCAATCTCTTTGCTTTCAGTGGGATTTATAGTTGTGGGTAACTTAGAGTACTGAAAAATAAGACTTCAAGACTTAACAATGTGACTTTTTGGGGGGTGGGGTGTTAGAACATGCTTTAGGAATTGCATGGGAATTATAAATGTAGTCAGATGAGCGTGTAAATTCCACAAGGACAGAGACTACAGTAGGAAAAACCTTTGGACCAGAGTTTCCTGACAAATTCTGACATCATGTAACAGAATTCCAGCTGAATTTTTACCGAGGGTTCATTTTATGCAGGGACAAAGCCTGTTAGTTTCTCAGAATAAATAGCTGTGATTCATTAAAGTAAAACCAAAATAATTTACTGTATAAATGACTTTGCTTAAATATGGAAACAGTGCTAGTTTTAATTAAATGCTAACACTATGTTGTTATTTCTAAATCAGTATGATACTTGTGTGGACCAATGTCAGCATCTGCAGTGCATGTGAACAATGTGAGAAAGCAGTAAGGATAGTGGGTCTTTAATGTCTCAAAACTTGTAAATTCTGCCAAAGTTGAAACATTCGTCACTTATGTTACTTTTTTTGTTAAAATTGATTACAAAACACTTCCTGAAGTCACCAAAACCAGGGTTTTTTTGTTACGTTTAGTCTTTTTTTTGTAGCACAAACTTACTAAGCATGGTTTTTCTGGTTGTTTTCTGAAGTGCTTGAAGTGATGATGCTATGATCCATGTTTAGTGTATGTGCATTTGTGTAATTTTTAGTGAAAACAGTCTGAAGTGTTTGGATAATCACAGTTAGTGTTTAAAATAGGTTTAAAACTATAAATGTTATGAAATTACATTTTGAGGGTGTGCTTATTCTGAACTAAAGGTAGGAGTATGGGGGAGGATCCCGAGCTGTTTCAGGTAAGGTTGCTGTAGCATCCAATGCTCCACTGACATCTTTGGTGCTGTGATTGAGTCCTTGCCAGCCTGTGGACACGGGGCTGGCACTGTTTTTAGGCCTGAAGACATCACGGTATTCCTTGGGTAGCCCATGTTTTTTTCTAATTAATGTAGTCACCCGAATCTGGAAACACCAATCTCTGCTCTTCACTTCCCTGTTGTTTCTACTCTGCCAGATGTGACAGTTAGATGATATGTTAGATTCTTTATGGTGCATGATGTCACTCTTCTCTTTTCCTTTGTTACGTGGGTGGTTGCTGTTCCGTCGTTTTTCTACCTAGTGGCAGATGCATGCAGGAGGATGAGCTGTGACTGTATCCTTCTCCACCTCACCTGCTGCACCGACTTGCAGTCTCCCCTTGCCCCCTCCATGCCCTACCCAGATCCTCGTGATCTCTTCTGCTTATTCCTGCTTTGCATAGTGGGAGAACAGCTTGGAAATCTTCCTTCACCCCTCACTTGAGTTGAGGATGTGTAGGCACACTGAGGTGAAATTGTTAATGGCTTGCATTGCCCTCCTGATGAAAGGCATTCGCTGTCAAATGTGACTGATGGTCTGCAATCTTTCTCTCTAGATACTTGATGATGGTAGGCATTTGTTTATGGTATTTGTTCTGATAGTTTTGGTTTGTTTGTGAGGTCTTTTGTGCAACACAAAAATTCTAGGGTATACCATTGGTATGCCAAATTGTTATTGAAAGTAACTGAGCTGCAGACCTTCTTCCTTCATCTTTTTAGTGCCCTTTTTAGGAAAGTAGTGCATTTACAAGATAAGAGCAAGGGTTTATATGATGTCTAATGCAGAATCACTGACTGGGGCCTACTCAGTAGTCTGTTATACTCTTTAGTAAGCCAATCTCTTGAAAATGTACCTGGATGGCTTTTCTGGTTCACACAGCTTTTATGACAGTGTTCTGATCAGCTGCAGTTGGTGGTTGGTTGTAGGAATAATTTTGCCTCTGCATTTTTGTCTAAAGGGAAGAAACACTTGAGATTTCTTATTTTGAATGCTAAAAATCACGCCTGGTTTAACATTTGTACTATTTGTGTAGCAGGATTAAATAAGTGTCTCCTACCAAACTCTAATAATTCATCAGTGTAAAGTAAAACAATCAACATAATCCTTTCTTACTTACTGTAGGAAACTAAGAAAGTAAAGTTGGGCAGATGATCACAGTGTGTGCATTATGAGGGTTTCTGAGCCAGAATTACTGATGACAGTAAAAATACAGTTACATCGTACTTGGTTTTAATGTTACTTAGGGCATTGGTGGGCTGCAGTGGTTGTATGTGTGATGTTTTGAAGGACTGTTTGGTAATGACATTTGGATGTATGAGGCTTAAATAAGTATTGCTCAATTTCTAGTTGGAAAGTAAAATAAAACAAAACCTGTTTACAGGTGCTGAGTTGATGGTCTGTTATTGATATATATTAAAAGCAAAACAAAAACCTGTTGCCTGACTGCTTTTTGTGAAGCTTCAGTTTCTGAATGCAACTGCATGTTGGCATAAGGTACAAATCTTCTGCAGATTTGCCCCTGCTGTAATTGGGAAAACAGTTATTTGGATGGGGCAGCCTTTTAAAATTGGATGCACAATTTGTGGTGACCGAGAAAAAGAAACCCTTTTGAAAGCTGTAATTTACCTTGTTCCTAAAATTAAAGGAATGAAAAAATATTCTCAGCTTATTAGCTCTGTTGAAGAAGTAATAGTATGTTACTGGATAAGTATTACTCAGACCTGTCTTCAGTGACAGCGCAGACACCATACTTTTAAAGTTTTTGTAACACAATTATTGTTGTTCTTAAATATTGCATGGAAAAGTTATTTTCCGTTGAGGTTGAATAACAAGAAAAGTATTACTGATTCATCTGGTATAAAACATTGCAGTGCTGAGTAACTGGCCATATTAGTTCCTGTAAGAGATGAAATGGAGTTAACCTTTCTGGTGACTAATCATTGCTTTTCAGAAGATAATGATTGCTATATTTTAGAAGATAGACTAGTGATTAAGAGATACAGGTAGGAGATGCATTTCTGTTCAGATTACATTCTGACCCAGTCAAAAACCCAAACCACAGCAAAAGAAACAACCAACAAACCACCAAACAAAAAACCCAAACCAAGACCCACATAGCTTATCCTAATTGAGACAGCTGTGGGCCAGAAATACTACTGCCAGTATGGATATAGTTCTGCATTGCCTGTGCAAGTGGAAGCAGTCTGAAACTACATTTTGTTTACTGTGCTGACAAGAATGTGTGTGTTCTTAACTTTGAGTAGCTTGGAGATCAGACCCGGTAATATCGTTGTTAACAGAAATGGCTTCAAAATATGTACTGGAGCTTTTTACGTGAAAACTTGTGTGTGAAGCGTTAGGATTTGCAAGCTCTCTATTACTAGGTTTGATATGGGAACATCAGTCTCTGTAGCCCTGAACTGCCAACAACCTTTGTCCTTTATTTTACCTTCAGTTAAAAACAAAAAAATAAAAGGGGGGTGGGGTGAGAGGGAGTTTGAAATAGGGAAGTAAATGAATGTTGGCCAATGGCCATGCCTTTTCCTAGAGCAAGAAAAAAATCTTGGAAAGATAAATGAGGTTGTGGACCTGGATTTGTTTCATTACATGAATGATATGTGATATTTTGTAAATTATTTATCAGAGCGAGCCTTTCTGAAATGGCTGAAGCATTGT